ATCTATAAAAGGTGATGATGTGAAAAAATTGATTTTTATTGGTCATTGTTAATTTAAATGCTGAAATATGATTGGCTACCCCTTAGAATTGGTCCAGAGTCCAATTGGACTGGACTGCTTGGACTGGTCCAATAAGTCCAATTGCCAACACTGATCGTGAATGCCAAGTGTTTAAGTGTTGAATTATTATGCTCACTCTTAATGAATATACATACAGCCCATTTCACCAAATCAATGGGCGTCCTCAGAAATTAAGATCTGATTAGATTAATAAATAAATTTATCCTCAAAAATTAAATATTTAATTTGTACAACCTTGAAAAATTTTGAAATGGGTATTTTAATATATACAATTTATTTTGTAACTATTTCAAATATTTGTAATTATTTTGATATTTATTTTGGAAATTCATAATTATTTCAGATATTCATAATTATTTCAGATACTTGTATTTATTTTGAATATTCATAATCATTACATTACAAATATTCAAATGGGGGTAGGATTACAGTTAGGAACCCTACTCTGTAAAAAAACGTTATTTTTTTTGATAATATATACAATAAATCACACGATCACAACCCTTGAAAAGGAATTTTTTATATTAATCTGTATATCATTTCTAAATTTGGAATGCACACAAAAAAATACTATATAAATAACCAACGAGGATGGATCAACAACATTGGTATAATGAACAAAAAGCAAAAAAGAAGAGTAAGCAAACGATCATTAACTAAAGAATGATGATATTGTTAACCTGAAAAAGCAATTAAAATATCAATAAGCTCAGCATTGGAATATGGAACAAAACACAATTTGTCAAAAATAATTATTGATACATTACCATTCAAATGATTTGAAATTTTTTTTTATGTAAATGTATTCATGCATTACCACCATTTTAAATAATTTTTATATATATTTATAGTTGTATATATATAATACATTGTATATATATATATTATTATTATACTCAAAAATAAAAATAATTATTATTATTATAAAAAATAAAGAAAGGAAGCATCTTATATATACATACATACACACATATATATATATATATATATATACATATACATACATATAAAGAAGATAGGCGAAGGGGTCACTAAAAATACAAAAAAAAATATTATTGTTATTATTATTATTATTATTATTAATTCACTGAATAAACATAATTTATTTAAATAATATTAGTTGTTGTTGTTATGGTTCATTTAATTCACGTAAGAACACAGTATCAGATTCTGGGCTTCGCTCAGAAACATATGAAACTGGTTGAATTTTTTCTTTGAAATTTCTTGAAGGCTTTTTTTTTGAAAAAGAAAGATTCGATTAAAAGTCAAAGATAATAAATAATATTGTATATAATTTTTTTTTTCAGTATAAATAAAAAATAAAGAAATACCGAAAGTTTCCATTTTCTGAATATCCAAATCCCTATAGCAGCAGCAACCACCACAGTTCCAACAACTATGGCAGCAGTCACTACATTTGTACTATCACTAGCAGTATTAGCACTATTACTATCTGCTGGTTTAACTTTACTTGAAGTGGGGCTAATAGAAGATGGGTTTATTGATTCGTAAGGATATGATGTGGAAGTTGAAGTCGAAGTAATGGTTATGGGATCTTGCGTGGAAGTAGTAACTACCACGGTTTTTTTAGGATCAGGAGTCGCCTGCTGAGATGTTGCTGGATCAGGAGCTGGCTGATTTGGTGGTGCTGGTTTGTCTGGTGTGGGTTGTACTTTAGGTGGAGGATCTGGCGTGGTTTGTGGCGGCGGTGGAGCTTGAGATGTTTTTGGGGGGTCTGGTGCTGGCGCTGGCGCTGGTGCTGGTGCTGGTGTTGGTGTTGGTTTATCAGGTGCTGGCGCTGGCGCTGGTGTTGATGGTGCAGGTTTCGCTGGCTGTGGTTGTGGCGGGTCTGGTGCTGGTGCTGGTGCTGATGCTGATGCTGATGCTGGTGGTGCTTTGTCAGCAGGTGTTGTTGCTGCTGGATCCTAATTATTAATAATTTAAAATAAAAATAAATTTGTCTTAGAAATTGAGTTAAGAAGAACAATGAGGAGATGGATGGAGAAGGATAATTGTTCCAACGTTTTTAAATTGTAAGAGGGAAAGTAGTTAACGCCTAAATATTTAAACAATTTTTTTCCTCATAAAAAAATTAAATAAACAAAATTCCTTCACTGCTTAATGAAATTATATATATGCTATTAAATTAGTTCCATATTTTATACTCCCATTTCCTGTGTATGTAATTATATATATATGTTTACTCTATTCTATTAATACCCCCAATATCTTAAGAATTTATTATTATTACTATTATTGTTTTTGACGTAAAAATTATCTTTTAACGATATTTAATTACTCTAGAAAAAGGAAAAAGGAAAAAGGAGAAGAAAATTCCACCTGGTAAAATTAAATAAATTAACAAAGACGAAATACTTACTGTAGCTTTAGGTGCCTTGGAATTATCTGCCATTTTTGTAAATTAGGTAAAAAAAATTTTTTCTTGGACTTCCCACCGCCTTTATTATATACAACAATTATAAGTGAAGGAATATATTTCTATGAAAAAAAACCCCTTTGATTTATTTATAATTTTTATATATTATCTATATATAAATAAATAAAAGGAAGGAATTTAAGGAACAAAATGAATTAAAAAAATTTTTTGATAACACTAATAATAACTCTATTATTATTTAATTTATATGAGAGCACTAACAGTAAGTGTTTAAAAAAAGAAAAAAGAAAATTTGTAATAATAATAAATAATTAAAATAATAAATAAATAGTGATAAAAATATAAACATTCACGTTTGTGGTGAAAAAAGATATATGTGTTCGAAATTTGGGAATTGGGAAACAAAAATATTATTAGTCACACGAAACTCATGCTGTATTTAAAAAGTGTAACGATAATTAATAATAATTAAAAAATATCAGTAGAATAAAAAAAAATTAATTAGCGAGTAATAATAATAATAATGAATGGTTTGATATAGTGAATAATACAATGAAGAATTATTGCATAATAATGATTTACAATTTACTTTCTTTCTCTCTAGCAAGAAAAAGGAATTGTCAATTGTCCATCTCCATACAAGAAACCCTGTCGATATAGTAACAATTTTTCTAAAAAATGCTCTATAGGTTCTTTATATGAGTTTTTATTAATGGAGATACCGCAAAAGCCATATATCCGAACTCGAAACGTTTAATTAGTCATGTGATTTAATGTTACATTCCGCACGTCTGTCTTAATAAAGGCAATAAAATTAATAAATAAAATTCCTTTTATTAGGAAGATCTTCGATTACGCGGAATAGGTTCTGATATTGATTATTAAATTTTTTTAGTAAACTTATTTCAGCCACAAATTTAAAAATAATAATCAAATTAAACCGTGCAACTAATAGAAATTTCCAATCCGTGTAACCAATCGTTTTTTAAAATCTCCCATTATTTTTATGAATGGATTCAAAATCTAAAATAAAGCTATATCACTCACTATAGCTTCTTAATGAATCCTCTCTCTCATATTGATAGACTCTCTATGTAAAGCTATAGTTATTCAAAAACAGCTTTAAGATTTTTACTTTATAAACCTGATGAGTATTATAAACTTGTGTGAGAGAAAATAGCAAAAATTCGACCAAAGAAGAGATAATTAATTTCCAAATGTGGTAATTGTTTTCTTTATTAATAACTTCCCCAGACAGACAAAACAAAATCCATCTGGCTGAAATATCCTTTTTAGGAAAACGATTTTTTATTGGGTGTATAACTTGTGAGCCCAAGCTGCTGTATATAAGCGCCACGGTTGTACCACTAATATCAAAAAATTTCATCATCTACCCTTTATTAATATCATTAGTATTTCACTATTTTAAATAACATGGACTCTTTTTTAATATCCATTTTAAAAGAAGAGAGAGGTGGAGAAGAGATGCGATTAAAACCAGAGAAGGAGAGATGTGGTTAAAAGTCAGTTAAAAGCGATTTAGAATTAGAATCGTTTAAATGAAGAAAAGGGAATTTAGAAAGCTATATGTATCCAGGTTTATTAGGAGGATAGTTAAAGTTTGAAAATTATCACAACGGTCCTTTCATTCACTATTCAAACTTCAATTATTTTATTTAATATTTTCCTATCATCATCTAACTCCAATTGCTGAATTTCTAGCTCTTTAAATTGGTAAGCAATATACCATCAACTTTGGTCTTGTTTAGAATTATTATAGCAGGCCCTCTTCATCCATTATTTGGTATACTGTTTATGCGACACATTAATTAACGTATGTTTTTTCTCATTCTTTTCCTATATTATTGATGGTGAACATGATAAGTGGAGTTATCCATCTTCTTTTTTTTACTTTTTTTAAGTTAGAGTATTTTGTGATATAATACCTATGACATTGAACAATTTCTGGTAAGAAGAAATTTGCTTGATCTAAAATTTCCAATTTAATAGTGCACATTCTTGTCTGTATATGTTATGATGAGGTTACATGTTTGATTCGTCTATCATTTGGCTTGTGGGAGTTGCTCAATGTTGAATATCGGGATAAAGGAGCAGAAGATCTTTCATTTCATCATTTAGAGAATGAAACAAAGAAATGGATGCAATACACAGCACTTGTTATACGCTGTATATTGGTCTCTTTCAATAAAGCAGAAGTGGAAAGTCACAACCGCTGCTTCGTACTGGTTAAAGAACGTAAATGTCCCGTCAAAGAAGAACAGGATAGATACCCGCCAACAACACAATTTATTTCAAATCTATTTCAAAATTGTGATATTGACAAATTTATTGATTTTTCCTGCGCATGCTTAGATGACCCTTCCAAGTTTAATGGTACTTGTAAAGGCTGGTGATCATATTGTAACAAAGATGACTTTTGGAAAACTATTAAAAATTGGAAAGATCCTAACAACAAACCAAAGGCCAAATAGAATTTCATCTGGCTAAAACTTGAATCGAATGCTAAACAGAGACTTGCACAATTCTGGAAGAAGGTTTTGGTATAATCCAAATTTGTTTTTTCAGCCGTATCTTAAACTCAAACTTGTATTTTCATTTGATGAGGCACGCCTTTTACACTTGATGAATCTGGCCAAGTTTCTCCTTTTTTGCTTTTGAGAAGAGTTTGCAATGTTTGCCAAATGGAATATTCGCTGTGTTCACGAATACATCATCAGAACTTTCAACGCATTTGTCATGAAAATCTGAAATTGTTTGATCCATTTTACTTATTTGACTTCATTGATGTTTTTGATAAACATGCAAGTGAGAAAATTGGGGCGTGGACAATAGCAATAGATGCAAGGTCAACATCAAAATCATGATTTTGAGAAAATCAAAAAAAAATATGCATTTCAAGTAACTATTTCAAAGATTTTATAAGTGGGTAGCTAAAAATTAATCTTTATGACGAATTGAATATAGTGGCGTTATTAACTTAAAAATCATAATTTTTGACGTTGACCTTGTTTCTATTGTACACCTTACAATTAGAAATTTTCTTTTTGGAAGACAATTGTGGATGTCAATGATTTGATTACATCATATCCTATGGCTGACTGGCAGTCCTTTTTCACGGTTGTCTTTATCAATTTCACCACAATCTAAGAATTCCACGAATATCTGTTCATATGTTTTCCCTGATAGACAAAGACTGTATATTGAATATTCATCAGAGCCCACTCTTGTAAAAGCTGCATCTGCAATGATGTCAGATATGGAGAATTACAAACGCTTGCTTAAAACTTTATGTAACTCTGTTAAAAATGGGATAGTTGATGCCGGTTTTCGTGACAGTTTGTTGCAAATCTTTATTGTTTAGGGCATACGACAAATACTGTAGTTCCCATGCAAGGCCACTAAAAAATATTTTTTGCTCTCACTGCTTGGAAAAAAATAATCATTAAAAAACTGCATTTTCTGAAGTTGGCATCTGGCATACAAACGTTGCTTGAAATGTCCTGACACTGTGCTACCATTATAGGGTAAGGAAAATATACAAGTTTTTTATCATCAGAACAAACTAAATAATGCTATAACCAGCTCTAGCGAATCATCATCACAACTTTGCACAAGATGTTCCTTTTGACATACAAAGATCCAATTTAAAGATATTCCCTTACTAAAAATAAAAAAAAAGGATTTATGATACCAATAGTAGTATTGGAAAAAACAGAAGAGGCAAAAGGGCCTGCTTCGGCAACAACAAAGATGAGATGATCATAGCCTGAGCAACTGAAAAAAAAAAACAAAGACATTAATGACCTTGGAGCACCCAAATCGGTCACTTATATATATCAGCATGATAATTTATTAAGAAGGGTAATTTCGGCTAACATCTATGATTTTGTATCTCTGCTTGGAATACCTTTGGCTGTCTTTAAGACTTTGATCCAGATATTATTAACTGGCCATGAGAATTTGAGCAAAAAGGTTAGTCAAGCACATATGTCCTGGTAAATAGTTTATACATAGGATAAAAAGTAACCCAAAAAAAGCAAATGATGATGTTAAAATATTAATTTGATTAATCGTTTTTTTAATTATTCTTGTTAAATAAAATTTTTTTTACTATTGTAAAAAAATTAAATGCATAATAATAAAATAACTAAACCACAAATAATTGTATACGTGAATATAATAACTTTACCGAGTATAAATGAAAAAGCCATTTTTAAATGGCCCAGCTCGGAGCAATGAATGGTGAAAACAATTGAACTCTTTCGAAATAATCGATTAAAAATAAACCAACGATCACTAATAATAAAACTAAAGAAAGAAAAATGTAAAAGTAAAAATCTGCAGCAAAACCGAAAAGTGGCCCAAGAAGATTTAACAAATAGTACCTTTGACTTAGCTCGTCAAAAAAATTACCAATACCCCCAAAATCGTTTAGGAGTAGCTAGCTAATCTTGATGATACACCAAATGTATTAATTAACCAAACTTTACAAACTCTAATCGATTGTTACGATAGTACTTCTTCTAATCAAGAATAAACAAATAATATCCAAATAGCCACTCAAAGTTTACAAACTCGATTACAAGCTGAAAATCAAGCCAATCAACAAATCAAAAATAAACTTGATGCTATTCCTTCTAAATGACAACAATATGTCAATGATGATTCCAATAAAGAAGGAGATAATTATAAATCTCAAGCTGAGCCAAAGAAAAACAAAAGTTTATTGCTGAATTAAGGCAAATTCTGACATCTTAACCTCACATTCGGTTCATCCCGCGTCACCAGTTCTGATCATCAAAAATGGCTCACTAGAAACTCTTATATCCGAATACCCAATTGAGTCTTCTTGCATGTTTAAAACTTTTAACACATAAAACTATTATCGAGTTTCTGCTATCCTGGGGAATCTTCGGCAGGAACCAGCTACTAGATGGCTCGATTAGTCTTTCACCAATATACCAAAATTGGACGATCACATCGGACCGTTACAAATCTCCATCAGAATTTTTTTCCTCCAGCTTCGCTCTATTCAAACATAGTATTAGTCCATCATCTTTCGGGTCCTAACAAATATGCTTTTACTCCCAAAGATAGACAACAAGATTAACTTGTAGAAAGAAGGTTATAATAAGAGCAAAATTACTCTGATCCTGAATAGTTACGGGACAAAATGCCTTAATCGAAATTCAATAAAATATTATTCAATTACAAAATTATAAAACAAAAGAGAAATACCTGATTTTGCTTCAAAAAAAAAAGAGAAAATCTTCATTGAAACAATCAAGCAGAAAATCCAACCCTCTCCAAGAAATGAAAATTTATTCCACTGATCTAAAAAAAAAGGCTCGACTATTGAACAAAGTTGTCAATGTGCTTATCAGATGTCAAATCCAGAAAAAATATTCTCCAAACTGTTAAACCAAAAGATCAATTAATTATTAATATTAAACAAAATTAGGTTGCTGGGTATTTTAGGGTAATGTTATTGTGGCTTTGGGGCCCTTGGAATTATTTAATATTAAATTTCCATGTGCGTTTGCATCGTGATTTAATTTGTGTTATTATGTTAACTTTGTTTGCCATATTAATATTTAATATTTTAAGGTTTCAACGATTAAATTAATTATAATAATCACGGTTCTTGGGAGATTTCGGAAATTTCGGCTATTGGTATAGATATTAATACTATTTATAATAATATTAATAATAATATTAATAATAATAATATTATTATTTATTTAATATTATTTGTTATTTAATTTCAATATACAATGTGAGAGTAAAAATACAACAATATTTATTATTGTTAAAAATATGTACCTAAATTATATAATCTAACTAAGGATTGAAAATAATAAAATGAAAATGAAAAAAAATATATTTGAAGATATTTACAATAAAAGAAAATAGTGTTAATTAAATATACTAAATATATTTATTTACAAGAGAGAAAATCAAAAGTGTGGATAAAAATATTCTAATTCCAAAAGGATTATTCTAATTGAAGTTTGTTTTCTCATGGTCTCGTTTATTCCTTATTCTATCTCCATCATCCCTTGATGTTGTTATTTACTAAAAATAAAGAAATCATTTTTATAATGTTCCCATGACATATTACTGTTGCTGTAAAAATTACTGACATTATTATTATTAGTATTGGCATCGTTTAAGTCAGGTATTGATATTGGATCGTATAATTCATCTTCTAGAATAAATGTATCCAATTCTTTTCGAGCCTTTTTATCTTGTTCTAGATGGCTTCTATGTTCGTTATAAATATTCCCTGAGGCTCCAAGTTCATCTTCATCTTCGTGGCTGTTGCCATTATTATTATTATTGTTATTATTATTGTTATTAACAAGATTATTATTGTTGTTTAAGTGTGCAAATTGAATCATGGAGGTTGTGGAATTTTTTCTTTGTAAATTTTTTGTATTTATTTTATGTAATTGTTTATTTTTACTGTAAAATTTAGAGTTCATCTTTAAAGAAATTTTTTGAGTGTTAATTGTGTTTATAAAAAAAAAATCCAATAAATTTTCGAGGTATTTATATTGTTTTTTATTTATAGTTCTTTCTAAAAAAAGAATGACACAAAGTGTAAAAAATAGTAAATGTTTTATTTGTTTTATTTAATTATTAATACTTCAAGTGATACAAAAACTGTTTAAAATTTTCCCCTTCAAACGGAGAATAAGAATTGTTTCGTCATTTTTACAATACTAAGAATACTTTAATCTCATAAATTAACTCCGAAAACTAAAAATAACTCTATTTAGCTCATCGATATATCATTATTATTAATCTTTTCAGGAATGAGTATTTCGGTTGAAAATTTTATTGCTGCTGCGGAATTTATTTCTGCGGAATTTATTGCTGCGAATTTGTTCATTTGAGTATAACGGATTTGGTTGATCTATTAATATATCACCATTACATTGTTGTTTTTGGATATGCTTATTATCGTGTAGCTCCAAATTGTATTTTAACGGACTTTAAGTTCCTGATCAACTAATGAAGACGAGTCCTTGACTTGACAGCTTCAAGGGATAGTTTAGGCAACACCGATTTTAAAATATAATTATATTAATATCTAGATGTATAAACAAACCATCTGCGCAAATGTTTTCCCTTATATAAGTCACCAAAACTTGGAACATTTTGTATCTTTGTATCACCATCTCCTGTGTTGAGGTTACACTAAAGTTTATTATCCTCATGAACATAAACAAATGTAGACTCTTCTTGATTATAAATAGGCTTGATGGTACTCGATCGAATATTAGTTTTATTAGCCAAACCAATGTGGGTTGACTTCTTCTTCTGATGGATCATGTGACAATGATAATATACGATTGAATTCATATGCTTGCTCCAGCTACAACTACAATATTATCCTTGTGTATTTCAAAACCATCTCTCTCGAATTCGACAATAAAAAATGAAACTGTAAGTCATTATGATTTGTGGTTATGGCTGCAAAACCTGACCTTGCTGAACCTTCACCACTATTTCCAGGGATGAGATGGTGAAGTTCCCAAACAGGAACAAAATTTGCATCATGGAGGGTGAAAGTGATTGAAAAAATCTTGGCCTACAGCTCTGATTTAATATGATTCTCAGATGAAGAACTCCCGAGACCACAGCACAAAGTTGGTGTGTATAAAATTAAAGTCGAAACCACACATACCACCGTTAAAGCATCTATTTCATAATGCTTATTTTACTCATTCCTTGATCAAAAATCTGTTTAATTAAAGTAAAAGATGGAATTCAGCCATGATCACCGCTTTTAATGATGGCTTTGTCTTTCAATTTTTGAAGTAATTCAATTGGTTGATGAAGTTGATAATTACTATGTTGCTTTAATACATTAGAAACCAGTTTAAAACAAAAACAAGGAGTTGAGATGTTAATTAGTTGTGGACTTTCAATCCAACCTGCTTCATTGAACAGTTCGTAATTATGGCCAAGTGCTGTACACGTTGGGAGTCTTCCTCCACATGATGGTTTTGTAAATCAAAAAGTAACTTGCAATATGTTTCCAATAATGAGCGCTTAACATAGTCGATAATAATTTTTTGGTTCCCAAACTCGAGGAATGTATATCATTTGGATCGTTAGTTATATTGTCACATCCATCAGATGACTTGTCCAGACTGTTAAGAGGTGTACTATAGTGACGACAAGTGTCGATAACCAATCATTCTTATAAATTTTTTGGGGTGGGGTGTTTGGATACAAATTCTGATTGGCTAATTTGAATTTCACGCGCGTCAAATATAGAGAGGAATGCTTGCAACAAACGGGATTGCAGGGTTCAAAATTTACCAGTATAATATATAATTATAAATTCAAAATCAAAATCAAAATCAAAATGACTATATAATATATATCATGCATGGACATAAATATCACCATTAACAACACAGATTCATGATGATACATTTTAACGATTAATGGAAATGTATACCATTTTCTGAGTGAAAAAATAAGATAGACAAATTTTCAAATCACAAATCAAAGTTATTTTGGCATAATTTCTATTTCATAAAATTATTTGTTTAAAAATTAATTATATTATGCATAACTAATTTTTATTATAAAAAATAATTCAATATTTGTATCATTTAACCATCATCATTTATATGCTTGATCAATACATTTGAACAAATGTATTTCGTTGCCGTTTTGCAGGAGGCGTGAATTTTGTTTTATGAGTCTTGCAATACTTGCTCATACCTGCGACGTTTTTCACCCAAAATAGGAGAAGTTGCTTTGGTAGGTCTTTTATTGGATGGTTGTATTGTTATTGGTAGATAGTGTTTGACCGGATGTGCATGAGGAATCGATTCTGATCTTAAATAACGAATTTCTTCTTCTTTACGTCTCTATATAAATATATTTTATATTATATATTTATATTTAATATTGTGAAATTTTTGAAATGACAAAAAAATTGTCTATATCATTATTACCTCTTCGTCTTTATATTTTTGTTCTTTAACAAACTTGTTATTTCTTTCTCGTTCTTTTCTTTGTTCATCAAACAATTTTCGACCTTGTACCCTAATGTCAGTATGAAAAAGAAATTCTACAGGTTCCGTTGGCTGTGGTTTCTCGGGTTTTTTAATTATCTCAGGTTCTAAGTTTGGCATTGGCAGTGCATGAAATTGATTCTCCTTTTCGTGTTCCAATTGACCCTTCAACCTTTCCTGAAATATTTGTTGATACCTTTCTCCTCGAATATCAGTCTCAAAAATAAATGGTCTAGGATGTGTTGTTGAATGATGAAGTCGAGGTGGTAATCTCTATAATAATAATAATGTTCTTATTATTATATTCTGGTATAGATAATGATAATAATAATAGGGTTGCTTACGTCTTGTGTATCACTTGGAGCTGGTTGTGCTTTGAATAAACGAGTATTTTCCAATTCATCATGGTTTTGATCCAATTTTTCTTGTGTATTATCGTTATTTTCAGGAGAGTCTGCGTCTAAAGATTCTGTTACAGGAGGTTCGATCTTTTGTAATTTTGGTAAGCCTAAATCACTACATTCCAAAATCTTTAAAAAAAAATCCCCCCCCCCCCACTAATAAATTTATAATCCATTTATATAACGATCAAGATAAATAATAAACTGGAATGACTAATACCTTTTGATTAGGAGTTTTGGCTTTAAATTGATTATTTTGATTTTGTTGTTCTTCAGTAAATAAAGAGGCACTAGTGCACAAACATAACAAACAATGAATACAAGTCTCTTGATGTATCGAAATCTTTAATTAATTTTAAATGTACCTAGATGCTTTCGATTTGAGTGAAACATGTAACTTTGGAGATCTTGGAATAGTAAGCGGTTTCTTTCGTCCGCAATTAACCTTTATTAAATTTTAAATATTATTCTTCATTTGTTGAAGATTACTTTTTTTTTTTTTTTCCTAGAAATAATTGGATATGATAAGAACCTTTTTATCACCGCCAAATGTTGATCTTTCGTCCTTTTTCAAAAAGTCTCTGACTTTAGCTGCTAACGGAACAAATGGTGATCTTTTTTGAATTTCATCATGACATGTTGAATTTGGGCGTGCAGCAGTACGAAACTTGAATGGTTTAGGTATTGTTGGCTTAAAAGATTTTCTACGTTTCTAAAAAAAAAATTATCATAACAATAACAATTGGTTATTTACTATTTGTTTATTTATGGAATAATAAATATCATTCATCATTGTTAAAGTTTACGCTAATTCCTGCAGGTTTTCTTTGCGATAAATAATCATTATTATTAGTAGTAATGATGGTGGAAGTTGACTCAATAATGGTTGAACCAGAATTTTTTCGAGAATCTTCTTCATGAACACTATCAAGATCATCATCATCAGGTAAAACAAAAGAAGTTAAGGGTGTTGTTTTAGTGTCAAAACTTTCCAGTTCAACATTTCCAACTCTAACAGGTGTCAATTTTTCCTTCACCATTTTTTTCGTTGTTTTTCGTTTATTGACACAAGATGATTCTTAAATAAATACTAGTATTATTAATATTATTAAATAATATAGTTATAAATTTATTAACAAACGAGCGAGGAAAATAAATCTGTTTTAAAACGTAAAAGAATAAATAAAAACAAAGTATTGTTTATCAATTTCAAAAAGTACGCGAATGTTTATTACTTGTGTTACCTTTCCTATTTATTAAAATTTTTTTTTACAGGCTTACTTTCTATAAAATTTTATTATTTTATTATTGGAAACAAACAAGAAGAAAAAATGTCTGATAGCGAATTTTTATTGATCTCCAAAAAATAAATGAAAATATTTATTAATTAACTAGTATTGATTACAATAGTAAGTTTAATGTAAAAAATAATTAAAGCAAATTTAAATGTTGTATATATATATGAGGATGATTATATGGAAGATTTTAATGACGATGATTATGAAGATCAAGAACTTCCTAACGGAATGGAAGATGATTTAAAAGAAGATAATAAGGAAGGAAAATCTGAACAATTAAAATAGATGAATTACAAAATATTGGAGGTATTGGAATTTTTTTCTGCTGGTGGGCTTGGTTTATCAGAACAGAAAAACATCGAAGATGAAAAAAAAGTTCATGCAAAATATAAAACTACTACGCAATTTATGACAAAATATGAAAAGGCTAGGATATTAGGTGCAAGGGCATTACAAATCAGGTAAATTTATAATTGTGACTTTCATTATTATTATGATATTTTATGATTCCTTGTGCCTTTCTTTGGTTGGTTTACGTTATAATAAATAAATAAAAATTATATATATATACATATATATATATAAATATAAAAAAGTATGAATGCTCCAATTCTTGTTGATAGTGGTGATGAAACAGACCCACTTGAGATCGTTAGGAAAGAACTTAACCAAAAAAAGAACCCATTAATGATTAGAAGGTTTTTACCTGATGGAAGTTATGAAGATTGGAATATCAATGAATTAATAATCTAAAACAAATAGTTAAAATCCGTCAAAATTGTTGTATTTTTATTTATTGCTAAACTATGGATGAAGTTTTGTTTGTTGATCGTCATAAATTATATATAATATATATACACAGGTGAACTCGATAGATAAATCAGCCCTCTCGATCAATTGTTTAAATTACTTGATAATATAATATAAATAAATGTCCGGCTTATCGAGTTTACCTGTGTACATATATTAATCTATATATATTTTAGATAAAAATATTCTACCAAATATATAATAAATTAAAAGTCTACTTTTTATTATCATTCATTCAAGTTGACTCTAATGTTATATACAACATGTCCATGGATAACTAACAATAGTTCACTTCCTGCTAAATTTTTTAACTTTAGTGATTTGTTAGCTTCATATGGGAATATTTGAACTTTCACATTAGAGTCTACTTTCTTGTCGTCTTTTCCACCAGTGCCTTCTGTCTCTTTTTCTTCTTTCTTATTTTTCAAATTATTTAAAAAATATTTCTCCATTTCAATACCTGATTCTTTTGTGACAAGAACACATGGTATAAAAATCGAACTAGAATCTGTTTGAGGTTGTGATGCTGGTTGAAATAAAATATTATCATTACTCGACACTATAACCGCTTTTGCGCCTGCTAATTGTGCATTCAAGACTTTTGTCACAAATTCACAATCACCTCGTTTAACAAGTAATACATTATCACGAATAATATCTTGTTCTTCTGATGTATACACATTACATCCAAGTGGTGATGATGGTGATGATGATGATGGTGGTGGTGGTGGTGGCGACGACGATGATGATGATGATGATGATGATGGTGATGGTGATGGTGATGGTGATGGTGATGGTGATGGTGATGGTGATGGTGATGGTGATGATGATGATGATGATGATGATGATGATGATGATGATGATGATGATGATGATAAGTAAACAAGATTTGAAAATGTCAACTCTTCTTCTTTTCCTCCCAATATTTTGGGCCCAAATGATGCCGTTGCAGATAGATAATCATAATAGCTGTTTGGGTCACCAGGATTCGGATAGACACGGATTATTGATACTTCATACGATTCTTGTTTTACCCAGTAATTTTTTACTATTGGATCGCGAATTTCTAAAACTTGTCCCGGATAAATCCTATATAATATAATATATAATATAATATGTGGATTAGATTCATTCGATCCACTCCTTTTAAAAGAAAACCTCTTAAGATTTTAAAACGAATTTTTAATTTCATATAATAGAAGGAAAAAATAAAATTTTAATTATCATGTGTTTAATCCCATCTACTTAAGGCACGTGATTAGATATAGAGGTTTGAGTGCAATTGAAAAAAATATCATAATACCATCTTACCTATAATCATTCACTACAAGAGATATTATGCAAGTTAATAAATACATGTCAAAAAACAAAATTTAAAATTTTTAAAGTTAGAAATTACAAGTACCTTTTGACACATCATAGCCTCTTTTATCTACTCTTCTTGATAATTCTAAACGTAAACCTTTCAAGTTATTGGTAATAATTCCATTATTAAACCATATTAATTGTTTTGATTGATCGTTAAGAACATCGGCTTCACCAAATGAAACTTCCAACACCAACGGGCTTGTTTGGGGCGTTTCACATTTTCCATTAGGATCTAAGGGCGGCAATCTCGACTCTTTATATCCCACCAATTCCCCAGCATAATCTACGTCAGGTCGTGCCAGTATCGAACCACTAATTCCTTTTGGTTTTTCATATACATTACATACCAAATCCTCATTTCTGACTGAAATTCTTTCAGTATCCGAATTCTTTTTAAGATATTGTCTGGATAAAGGTAAAATATGTGCCTCTAGAAAGGATATATATATATTATCAAAAAAAAATTTTTTTTGAAAATTACAATAATCACATATGATGTACATACATATGCTAGATACATACCAGTTGTAAAGACAAAATTATCATCCAACAAATTAATCATATTATCTTTATTAATGAAAATTTGATTAGACGATTCTTGTAATAAACAAAGTGTTATTCATTTATTTATTATATGACTGTAAAAAATAGTTTACCAGTATCAAATAACAAATATAAATATTTAAAGGTTTCACTCAAAACAAAAGTTTCCATACGATCATCCAACTTTTTGGTCAAAACATTTTTGATGGAAGTATATCCACACTTAACACGAGCGTATGTTTCCAAATCTTGAAGGATCATTTCACCTACCTCAAGATAAAAAGGATCACGTGTCGCCTGCATAAATAAAATGAAATTATGTAGAATAAAATTTTCATTAGCTAGCTAACTAACTAACTGACTAACATTAGATATATTTAAGTCCTATGTATATAAAGAAAAATTTCTTACTCTATAAAGAAAATAAGTTGATTCTACAAACTCCGGTCTTAATGGATATGATGCTATTTCAACATGTTTCATATAAAAGTTGAATCTCTCAGGCATTGCTTGATATTTTTTCCATATATTATAATATATCAAGTGTGATTTAATAGCGTTATCTAAATCTCCAGCCAAAACCTAACCAATCAATCAAACAAACATATATAAAATTTTCAAATAAAAGGTTTCCTCCTATAAACATACAACATATATATACTCGTATAATATAAATATGAATATGAATATGAATATACCTGTAATCCTGATAAAAAAGCGGACAAGCTGTCAATCCAATTTGACATTACACTACCACTCATCATATTAACATTACGATATAAGTATCCTGTTTCGTCACGAATATGCCTTAATATTGCCGAGTATGCTTCATTGAATATTTCAAAGTATTCAATTTCACCAAACAACACATATGCTTTCATTAAATACTCAAAAAATGAATCGATTCCTGCTCCTGTGCTAGATGCTGTATGAACCCATTGCCCTGTCTGCATATTTATAACATTTCCAACAAGATTCAAATCTGTTCTTCTATTCCAAAGACCAAATAATGCACCTCTTGCTGCATTCTATTGACCATAATACATATATAAAAATAAATGCAATTATATGATATTCATTATAATTTTCTCAAATAAATAATAATGTTATCCATATTATTCGTTATAATAAATAACTACTTCAAATCTTGGATCATTTGTTAATCTACTAAGAACACCAAACTCCAGTATTAATGATCCTGCTCCAGCAGTACAAGTTTCATGTGTTTCAGTTTTAGGTACGCCATACCTCAAATTAACCTTTGAATTTTTTTTTAAAAAATAAAAAATAAATATTAAATATTAATAATAATTCAACAAATTTTTTCTCAATGAATTTTATTTTTTTAAAAAAAATCACCCTCGGATATGGAATACCAGTCCTTGAATTTTGAAATGCAGGCAATAATCTTTTACCCAAATCTAATGCGAGATCTAATAATTCATTATTATATTTTGGGATCGTAAATCCAAATCTCGAATCACTTGCTAATAAATGCGCAGATAACTAATGAAAAAAAATATTAAAAGTTGTATTTGAAAAAAATACACCTTTTTTTCAAATGAAAAAAACTTACCAAACCGCCTAGCGCACGAATATTTAGTTCAAATACTTGTACTTTACTATTTACATCAAATGAGACATTATCAATCACATTTCGAACAGCATCTTGAAAGCCTTTTGTATCATTAAAAACCTAAAAGTAAAGATTCAAAATATTAAAATATTAACCATTATTACTGTCAATGTCTTTTTGCAATTTTAAAGATCATTATCAATTTATTAAAACTCACTATAAATGTATCAAGAGTATCAACTAACGTCAAGGAATAATCACCTAAAACGTCATTAATGGGATTATGTCTAATAAGAGAAGGGGAAAAAAATGAAATCGAAGAAAAAACAATAATTTAATATATAACATTAAAAGATTTTAAATCATCAACTTTTAATAATATACTTGCAAATTAATCCTGTCACTTCCTTTTCCAACACAATGAATTGGATTCAACTAATAAATATATTGTTAATAAAAACATGCACAAATAAATAAATTCACTGATATAAATAGACAAATTCACACCTCATCATATGGAAATGCATATTTCATGTAAGAATCAAATCCATGATAAAACATTTCCTAGGAACACATTAATTATTCAGTGAAGCCTAATATAGTCATTTAGTATTTACAACCTTCTACAGACTCATTTGAATTATTATTGTTATTAATATTAATATTAATATTTTCTATACCTTAGCTTTCAACCTAAAGAAGATGTGTGAGTATGCAACTATATGTATAAGTATTACAAGTCATTCAAAGATTGGTTTTAATTAAAATCAAATCTCAATTATTAAACTTACTTTAGTTCCTGTCTTCGTTCGTTTGTGATTGAATTTGCTTCAGGAAGTAAAAACAACAACACCACTAAAGATATCCAAGAAGATCGAAGGTAGACTCGAGTATACCACATTTGAAATTCTTATTTATTATTTGATGTGTAAAATTTTTTGATCAGTAAATTCTGTCTAAATGCTTAGTCAAATTGGTGCAGAATTTTTGCCCCTTGATCAAATTCCCGTGTAACCCACTGTTATAAAATAAACTGTGCCATTAATATTAAAAGCTTTTATAATTATTCAAAAACAGCATTACTTTTCACTTCAAAACTAAGATTTTTTACCAACATTACTTGACAAGTAGTTGAAAAGATACAAAATATTATAGGCTTCCAATATGGTGAGTTTCAATTTAGCACAAGTTTCCAAAATTTGTTATACCAAGATTTAATTAGTATTAGCATCATTAAATCCATTATATTGAGAGAATTTACTAATACCATTATCATTTACTATTGCTATTGTTAAATCAAAAAGACTTTTATCAGGCATCCACTAAATTGAACATTTTTTGTACAACAGAAGAATTGAAGGATAAAATTGGGCATGCTGCAACAAAATCAGACAAAGTGAACATTTTGCACTACTAGGGATTTCAGGGATCAAAAAATTTAGTTATCATCAATATGATTTTATAATGTCACATTTCACATCTATCATAAATATAGAAAGCAAAGTATTCATAAAACAATCAAATTTTAATATTATATCAATCAATTGATGTATAACTTATATAATTTCAGGATATGTGGGGCATGGACAATAGAAAGGGACCAAACGTCAAAATCACGATTTTGAGATAATCGAAAAAAAAGATCTGCATTTCAAGTAATTACCTATTGTTTTTAAAAACTTTAACAGAAAATATCTCAAAATTTTATTAAGTAATGTGGGTATTGTTTCTAAGCTAAAATTAATCCTCGTAGTGAATTACATATAAGAATGTCATTAACTCAAAATCATGATTTTTGACGTTTGGTCCCTTTCTATTGTCCATGCCCCATGTGTTCAAAATAGATGGTCAATCAAAATGGGGCTACATATCCTAACAGTTCAATTTGAGCTGGTTTGATGAGTAAACCGAACTGAACTGAATTTATTTTTAAACCATAAAAATTTAAAATTGATAGTGTTACCAGGATTAGAAATTAATGCCAATTCATTGGCCGAAATTCTCTAATTCCGCATTAATCTATTTTTATAATTTTTATAATTTATTTAGGGAATTGTTATTCGCACCCCTCCCGTGACTAAGTGTAGTAATGAGACCAATGAATGGCTTTAAAATGTGATGATTTTATTGGTTCATCTTTGTCTTAGTCATGGGAGGGTGCGAATAACAATTCTCTTTATTTATTCCATTTTATAACATTATAATGTTATTTGGTAGAAATTAACATAGACCTTGCAATTTCATACTAGTAATTGAAGAGCTATTTTGGGATTAAATCACTGAATTGCAATGATTAAATTGCTAAATAGTAATAATTAAGTGCAACATTTGTAATTAGAGTGCTACTAATTAATTTAATTGTATATAAGAGGCTTGCACAGTCAAACCTTGTTTCAACAAAGTGGCTGGACATATAAGAAAATTTCATTCAAAATTTGTTGAAACGAGATTACTAATTGTATTTCAACAAAGAATTTTTGTATTAGTATGTTTTTCATAATGTATAACAAGATTTTTAAAAATTGTTGAAACATGAATTTAATTATAATTCACTGGGACAAAAAGTTTGTTGAAGTGAGGGTTTGACTAATTGAAAATATATATTTTTTTTGTGCTCAATAATATTAAAAACCAAAACGAGACTGAACTGAAATTGAACTGAAAATTTTGGTTTAAACTGAGCCATTCAGAGCTTTACATTTGATTTTCTCAAAACTATCAATTGAGAAAAGTTAAAATCTCTAGATTATGTTTTAGACTATAGGTGCTGCCCAAGCTACTTTGTACACAAATCCCAAATGTATATCAATCCACCTGGCCCTACTTTTGTAACCAATAAGGATCTAGTGTTATGAAAGTGTTGCTGATCATATTCACAAATCCTGGGCACTTATTGGTCAGGAGGCAGAATGCCATGGATGTACGAAATAGTTGGGATCTGACAAGCTGCCCAAATTCAGTTGTATAGTATATAAATAAAAACTTACGCATATCTAATATTAATATGCAATTAAATCAATAATTATTATTTGCCAAATACAATACAATTTCTTAAATAGGAATAAACACACTGTAGTAAAAAAAAATGAATGAAGGTATTTTTTTCTTACACAGAAAATAACTTTTAAAAATATGTAGTATTTTTACATCATAATAATTTAATATTTTGCATTATAATAAAATAATACTTAGCTAAATTCTATAAAGGTAAATAAATATTTTACAACACAAAATAAACATCATCTAAT